TAAAAATATATGTATATAATATATTGTTTTCCAGCATTAACGTATAATGTTGATTGTATGTTAGGAAGGAAAAATAATACGTATTTTTTTTTTAAAATACTCTATAATAATTGCAATAATAATTTCATCATTATATACTAAATATACTAGTAAGGAAGAATAATACATATTTTTTTTTTAAACTAATGGCTGTTATAATTTTGCTCTGAAAATGAAAAACCACATAAACGAATGTACCTCCAAGATTATGGCGGAGGATCGAGAATTATATTTTTAGTATTTTATAATAGAACTCTTTTTTTTCGTTTCAAGTAGAAGTGATACCAATTTTTATTCTCGTTTACTTGATGACACAAAGAAACACTGTTTTAACCAAAGGAAACTCATGCCTTTTATGTTACTTACGTTTAACACTCCACATCCACATACATTCTAGGTCGCCCAAGGAACTTGGGGAGAAGTAGTGTTTGTAATCGAGTTTCCTGGAGATCCCGAGAATTAAAACAATTTCGAAATTGAATACTACATAATGTATTATATAGTCAATTAATTTGCTTTTTAACAAAATTATTTACACCACATAATTCATCCCTTTCTAGTAAATAAACGAAACACCCTGTACACGCTATTAATTAATATTGTAGTCTTCCAAATTAAGCAAAACATTGAAACAATAACATTCTCCGACAACTATTGAGAAAAAGAGGAATAAAATGTATACAACCAACCTGTCTAATAGCGTCTACGTGAAACTTTAGACAAATTCATTTACTTGTAGTATACATGGTCATTTGCTGTAATATGTATATTATGAGAGAAGTGAAACCGGTTGTTTGACAGGTTGCAGTAGGTTTAACGTTAAACATCTCGTCGGGGTTTACAACACGAGCTGAAACGCATTAGTAAAGTGTCGTGTATTATAAAAGTACGATAAAAAATTCCTGCTGCGTGTTCTGCCGTGAATGAACGTCGACTCTGAAGCCGAGTCAACCGCGAGGTCTTTTTACATTCGAAAACCACATCATATCGTGGTCTACCGATTTGCCGCGAAGCGGCAATATCAAAGGCGAATCGTTCATCTGGCGCGAAGGAATGAAAGCGATTAAGTTTGCGGGTTTAAAGAGGATCAAAAATCTCGGTGGCCATACCGGACGAGAAGCACGGGTGTTAGAAAAGGAAGAGCCACCGCCCACGGTTCCTAAGCCTGGGTCGATCTAAAGTTAGAAATAAAAATAGGTCGGTTTAGAGGGAAGGGCACGAATTTTTCATCGAACCGTCGAGCCTTTGCTCTAGGACGCGCTGAAACGCGAAGGGCCGGGCCCGAATGGCCCCCAATTACAGCAATGAGTCAAGGTTTTAATTAAAACTTAACCAGGACACTTTCACACTTTGTATCCTGCTAGGAATTACCCAACCAGGTCTAGGAATCTCACAATCCAAACTGTGAATGAAAACAAATAATATTTGGTTTTTGATTTTTAACCTGTGCTTGACACTTTATCTATCAGGAGTTTACTAGAGTCAGAGTCAATGTCAGAGTCCCAGAGTCCCAGAGTCCCAGAGTCCCAGAGTCCCAGAGTC